ACTGAATTTTGTAATCATATGCACTGAGAATCAATGCCCATCTCTGTAGACGAGCAGCAACTAATGAGGGTACTGACCGTCCCTCACCAAACAGGGCAGTGAGAGGTCGATGATCTCTCACGAGAGTGAAATGCCTACCATACACATACTGATGAAATCTTTTCACACCAAATATAATTGCTAGGGCTTCTCTGTCAATTTGTGAATATCCCTTTTCAGCCTTGTTCAGTGTTCTTGAAGCAAATGCAATCGGTTGTTCAGTACCATCACTCATCACATGAGACAACACAGCACCCACGCCATAGGAGGATGCATCACATGCCAATGTTATTGGCAACAATGGATCATAATGACACAACACATCGGAACTTGCAATTTTTGCTTTAGACATTTTTGAAAGATTTCTCACATTCAGTTGACCATAGCCATTTCTTGTCTTTCTGCAACAGTTCGTTTAATGGGTGAACGATTGTAGAAAGGTTCTGGATGAATCTGCCATAGTAGTTGACTCCACCGAGAAAGGAACATAGTTGTGTCACATGTTCAGGTCTTGGAGCACTGATGATAGCTTTCACCTTATCTTCTGAAGTATGAAGTCCTTCTTTGTCAATAACATGACCGAGATACTTGACTGAGTCTACAAAGAATTTACACTTACTTTGTTTTACTCTCAAGCCGAATTGTTGTAATCTTGACAAAACTTCATCCAAGTTCTGTAAGTGTTCTTCATCATTTGAACCGGTCACTAGAATATCATCTTGATGACATAATACTTTCTGCAAACCTTGAAGAATTTGGTCCATTGTAGCTTGAAAAATTGCAGGAGCTGAAGCAATGCCGAAAGCAAGTCTTGTGTACCTGTAGAGTCCTTTTGGAGTATTGATGGTGAGTAGTTTCTGTGAGTCTTCATCCACCTCCATTTGTTGATAAGCATGAGCAAGATCAATCTTTGAGAATTTCTGACCTCCGGCAAGTTGAGCGAACATGTCTTCAATCTTTTTTGTGGATACTGGTTCACATTTAAAGCTGGGTTTACAGTAGATTTGAAATCGCCGCATATTCTGACAGATTTGTCAGGTTTGACCACTGGAACTATTGGTGTAGCCCACTCAGAATGTTCTACTTTGATAATCACACCATTTTTCTCCATTCTTGAAATTTCTTCATTCACTCTATCATGAAGTGCATAAGGAACAGGCCTAGCTTTCATGTATTTAGGAGACATGCCATCTTTCACTTCTAAATTGGCTTTGATTCCATTAATTGTACCCAGTCCATCAGAAAATACATCACAGTATTTCACAAACATTTCACTGAGTTGATCTTCACTTGACATTTTGTGACACATGTTGACATTATTTCCTAATGATTTCCAGTCAATATTTACGTATGGTAACCACGCCCTCCCCAGTAACAGAGGACCTTTTCCCTGCACGACATGTAGTGGTAACTGGTTTACTCTTTCACCATCACGAACGTCAACATGTATGATACCAAGATTTGTGACAAGCTCACCTGTGTATGTTCTCATTGGGATTGGCGATTCTTGTAAGCTGCATTCTGAAAAGTTCTGTCTGTAAACGCCTTCAGTAAGTATAGAACTTCTTGAGCCAGTATCTAACTCCATCTTTAGATCACGTCCATTTACATTCACTGTCACCCATATGACATCTGCAGCACCGTGAATAGCGAGCAAATGATTTAGACAGTCACCTATATCATCTAGAATGTCATCTTCATATTCATGGGTTGAACAAAGTTCTTCATTGATAGCATTTACACGAAAAGTTTGACGCCTACCGTTTCTGTTTACATTGCTGGAGCTAGCACTTCCTGTTTGACAAAACCCGGATGTTGAACTTTGACCTGACCTTTGACTCCATTTCTTCGCTTTGCATACCTTCTGAATATGGCCTTTCTTTTGACAGAATGAGCAAACTGTATCTTTGAAATTACAAGTATCAGCTAAATGCGAAGGCTTTCCACATCTATAACAATAACGTTCATACCTTGCATTAGATCTTCTGGTGTTTGAAAGAAAACACCTCTGACTGTGATTGTTCCTTCGGTAATCCGTTGCGGCACAATTCTTCTGAATCGCAGCTAATTCCATTGAATTTGCATTTGAAACTGCACGTTCTAGTGTCAATTCTAATTCTGCAAGCAATTTTCTTTGAACATTTACACTTTTCAGTCCAAGAACTAATTGATCTCTTAAACGTTCATTCAGTGTAGCGCCGAAGTCAGAAAATCTAGCCAGTCCTTTCAAAACAACAACATATTGTGAAACAGTTTCGTTTTCGGTCTGCATTCTCTTGTGAAATCTGTATCTTTCAGCAATAACACTTGGTCTAGGCATGTAATGATCACGTAAAACAGTGAATAATTGTTCCAAAGTATGTGTAGAGGCAAATCAGGAGAAACCACTGATTTGAGAACATTGTAAGTTTTTGCATCAATCATGGAAAGAAACCAAGAAACTTTTCGTTCATTTGGAATGTCATTAGCATCGAAATATAAACTCACTCTTTCAGAATATGACATCCAATCTTCTAAACTTTCATCGAACTGTCCAACATCTCCAATGACGCCTGCCATTATGGAAAAGCACTGAATGTAATCACGTATAGAAAGTTTTATCCTCGTTGCCACTGTTGTGTATGTATTATGTTATTTGTCCGACCCGCACATTGGAGGAACATCAAATCTTCAATACATAACAAAACCGTAGTTGGCTCAATCACTGTTTAATGGAGAACTGGCGTTGCCTCACACAGCTGCCTAGGTTACAACAACATAATGACGTCACACCTAAAGTGACGTCACTGCACGTGCGCATTGGCGCACTTACAATGTAAACATACCTAACATGCACAACACTAATATTCTTCACACAAAAACGTCGAGTAAATAAAGGATGAAATGGTTTTGTGTCGAATATTTGGCTACTGGAAACTGTCCTGGAACATTCACACAAGCCACTTTCATCGGCTACATTTTTTCAGTACTGATTCAAAAGCGAACTCACCATTGTGTCATCACAAGCCATGCTCATGCCTCCCTTGTTCCTTGCTATTATCCACATCATCCTTTCAGTGTTCCCTACCACACTTTTCTGTTACAAAAATCACCGACGAATAAAATAAATACCATGTCATTCATGTGAACTCGAGAGTTTGACGTCTGACGCCTGGAGCTGTTTTCAGTTCACGTCTTATCGGCTAATTCCTCACCACTTGGTATCTTGTAGATTACGGAATGGGACAAGTGTGCCAAATGGCATCAGGATCACTCGTAAGTGTCCGTAGACTAAAGTCACGAGACACCATGTCTACCCGTAACCTTCGTAAGTGTCTGTCACCTATTCAACCCTTTTCGTTCAGTTCCGTAACGTCGTAGGCATGACTAGGTAAATTTGCACTTTGTTGTACAGTGTGTACATAGCTCAGTCGGCTACCTGTCGGGCTAACAATCCGACGGATTCTCACAAAAACTGGTTGCTTGTCTTTGAGACATGTGACCTACGGCAGAGATCGTCCTCACGAGAAGTTGTGGTACTGTATTCTAAAGGTGCTCAGATAAATCAGATTATCAATATTTATCATCCCAAACAGGATTCCACAGCTATGATATATCGCTTGGGTGAGATCAAACAATGTCTCCTACTGATATATATGTATATATGGCCTATATAGGAAATTGTCATCACAATCCTTTGCAGACCATGACATCGGTTACCATGACATCACAATCAAATGACATCGCAAATCTCTGTCACTGAAGCTGGTTAGCTCTACTTTCTCACTCACTCTGCTAAATACTGTTTCCAAACTGAACTTGTTGGAAGAATGATTTTGGATAATAAATTGAATCTTACCCTTGTCTCTTTTGATCAAATATAACAACACTCGTTGATGAAAAGTTTGAACCTCCTTGCAAGCCTCGGAGATATAATGTTACATTGTCTAGTGTTGATATAGTTGGTACTTGGGTGAGATTCTCAATTTGTATTATTTTATTGTGACAATCGTCTTGGGGACTCGGGGTTAGATCTAGAATTGGACCCAACAGCTGCCTTTCTATAGATATGTGTTAATATGAGGCGAGGGGCACGGATGGCCGAGTCGTCTAAGGCGCCGCGAGTTATATCCCTTGGGCACGCCAGAAACTTATGATTGTGGGTTCAAATCCCGCGTTGCCCCAATTATGTTTCTAGGTTTGTCAGCACCATACTCGTGCTCGTGGGTTTCACCGAAGTGGTAAACATCTGAGACCTGCATCACTTCAGGCTTTCCTCCCACTTTAAGCTGACACACAATGATATAACTGGAGTACTGTTAAAAGCGTGTTAAACCCAACTCACTCACTCACTCACTATGAGGCGACCTGTGGATCAGATGGTCAAGCCGGTGACTTTGTTGATTGTGTGACATCATCCCCCGACAGCTCTCAATATCGATCACTGGTTCGTCCAGTCCAGACTTGATTTTTTATAGGCTCACAACAAACAGATGGAACATTGCTTAGTGTAGTACACTTTCTGTAACTCTGCTGCTGACTAAACCTTTAAAACTTAAAATTATGTGTGTGATGAATAGTGATGTATAAAGTATTGGTATAATCAGAGACACTTGATATTTAGTGTCCATGGTATGACAGTGAAAACATTTACACAGTGTGGGTGTTTTAGCAGTTTCTGACTGACTCATTACCAACCATCAGTTGGAATGGAAAGATCTTATTTGAAACAATAAGAGGGGCACGGGTGGCAGAGTTGCGTCCCTTGGGCACGCCAGAAACCTATGATTGTGGGTTCGGATCCTGGTTTGCCCCGATTATGTTTCTAGGTTTGTCAGCACCATAACCGTGCTCGTGGATTTCACCAAAGTGGTAAATGTCTAAGACCTGCATCACTCTCGGGCTTTCCTCCCACATTAAGCTGACACGCCGCGATATAACTGGAATACTGTTAAAAGCGGCGTTAAACCCAACTCACTCACTCACTCTGAACCAGTTCTCAGTGATTCAATTCTGCTACAAATTGGAACAGAATAAAACTCTCAGTAGTAAATTTTTTTGTCTCATTCAAGCAGGTCTAGCTACAAACTCTGATGAATAGTGAAGTAAGTTTCCCAATAGACCTCCGGATTAGTCTTAAAAGAAGCAAATTTCCAAGGCTAAATTAGGCTTCCATTTTGGGGCTATTTTTAAAATCCCAGATTTTGTACCCTTAAGTCTTTGTTTTGTAGTGGTTATAATAACATATTTAGGTCACATGTTACTTAAGGTCTTCCAGCCTTTAGGTATAGCTTGATGACTTCCTTGAACATGACATGCCTTGCCCCTAGCTTTAATTATTATATGACAGTATGTGTGTGCGCTTTCCCACTCCACGAAGGCAACACATTAGGGCACGATGGTTGAAGGTCCAGGCTGCACTTTGAATGGGGAGAAGATCAGAGGTCGCCTGGTTGGGAAGACGGTGCGGAGTGTTTCTGGCAGCGCTGTCAACAGGGTAAGTGATCGGGTCCTGGTCAAGGTAGTGTTCGTATTGCTACAACTGTCTATGTTGAAGCGTGTGAGTTACTATTGTCTTACATCTTCCTGAGTCAAGGGAGTTAACTGACTATAAAATTCAGTTTCCACCCTTGCCGACCTAGGCTAGAATTTAAAAAAAACAAAAACTTTTTTTGCTGAACTAATGAGTCTAAGCATAGTAAATTAAAAATCAAGTAACAAAATCAAAATCCAGTTGGAAAACTGCCGTGCAGATTTCGGCCGATTGCAGGATTTGCAATGCATGTGTATCGCCAACTTAGCATCAACAGATATTTAAAAAAAACTTTCATGTTTTAAGTCAAGATGCTCACGTAAATTGTCGCACTTTACGAAGTAAGACCGTTTTATTAGAATATAGATATTGATTATCGATCAAATTGTCTTCACTGGGCGCCGCCATTTGCAGCCAATTCAAGTGATAGAAGAGGTTGAATCTGATTGGTCAACAGGAGGTACATAACTCGTAATAGCCACTGGTCGCGCTGTGATCGAGCCCAGAAATTCCAGCCTAGTTTGGCAATGGTGGAAACTAGGCTTTTACAGTCAGTTAACTCCCTTGCCCTATGTGGAACCTTGAACAAACTTATACATGTTCCTCAGGTCGGACATTTTTTCTTATTTGGCTTACAGATTTTTGGCCTAACAATTCAAGCTGGTTGGTAAAAAACAACAATTAATCCAGTTTCAAATAAAAAAATTAATTTCCTCTAGTGATTTAATATAATTTGGTGTGTTTTTAATATAAATTAAATTTTAAGTTATTTTTGAATATTGATAGTGACAGTAAATGAGGTTTATTAATTATTTCTGCTTTTAATTTTGCATTTAAGTTCACATTCTATTTTTCGGGGAGTTGGCGGATTCCTTAACCAGTTTAAAATAGGTCTGGCCTTTGTATAAAGTTAGTTGTACCAGAGTATCCAGTGGGCGATATTTTGGAATTTTGTACCATGTCATCTTCCCGAGGCAAGAGAGTTAACTGACTATAAAAGTCCAGTTTCCACCCTTGCCGAACTAGGCTGGGATTATGGAGTTACATTTTGGCTGGACAAACGAGTCTATGCATAGTCAAATCAAAATCGTGCATCGAAATCAGGTTCATAAACTGTCATGCAGAGTTTGGTCGATTGCAGGATTTGCAAAGCATGTGCATCGCCACCTCGTTGTCAACAGATATTTTCCAAATCTTTTCATGTTTTTAATCAAGGTGCTCACATGATCTGATGTACTCTGCGAAGTAAGAACCGTTTTATCACAAAATAGATCTTGATGGTCGATCAGATCGTCTTGACTGGGCGCCACCATTTTGTTTGAAACAAATGCATGTGATATGAGAGGTGGAATCTGATTGGTACATATGGGAGAGGCATAGAATGGACATAACTCGTAATAGCCACTGGTGGCGCTACGATCGAGCCCAGGAATTCCAGGCTAGTTCGGCAAGGGTGGAAACTGGACTTGTAAAGTCAGTTAACGCTCTTGCCTCAGGAAGATGTACCATGTAGGCTATGGGATGGTAATTTAAGTCAGGATACACACACATATTTTTTCAAAGATAAATTCAAATTAATGACCAACCATTAATTTTGAACCAAATGAACATCTTATCAAGGGAGGAAACTTTTTGAAGGGGGTTGGGGGAGTTTTTATTTTTTTACATTTAAAAAGGGGGAATGCCCATCAGAGCATCTAGAACCCCCAGATCCACAACTGTTGGGTATACTTACATTTGCGGAACTATACTACTCCACTGTTGATAGGGGCATTATGACTCCTATGTCAAATGTATATTTAAGTATATCTGACATATCTGGGCATCCCTATCAAAAGTTGAGAAGTATATGTCGATAAACTACAATATTGTGCTTTCCAGGATGTAAAGAAACAAAAGAGGGAAGATCACATGACCAAATATGATGAGCTGATTGGTCGGAAACTGGAGGAAGTGCTCACCCTTGGGAAAGAACTGTTCCTGTTTTTTGGAGACTTGTGTTTGAGGTATGAGCATGATGGATCTCGAGCAGGTTGGTTGAGTGAATGTTGTTTTACACCACACTCAGTTGTTGTAAAAACTTTTGTGGCCTTCCTTTTGCTTTTTTTCAGGATCCATTTCTTGATGGCGGGGTCAATCCGTGTAAACAATGTCCAGTTGGACAAGGACTACTCCAAGGTGACCACCACGGCCTCCCTGGAGCTGGACATGGAAGGGGATGCCCTGGCCTTCTACAAGAGTACGGCAGACATCAGGTGGAGTTATATACACAACACACACAGAGAAAGGCCAAAGGATAATGTATGATAAGGGCCCTATTTGGCTCACAGGATCTGCAAAATAAATGAAAGAAGACACATTTTTTAAATTGTTATGAAATTTGTCAAGAATGTGTCATTTTGTTTTTCGACACTTTCATGTTTTCATCTTGTAACAACGCTGAATGTTGGGTAAAGGCTAAAAGTTACAAAATGAAAAAAATGTCCACGGCATACACAAGATTTCTGTGGTGAAAGTCCGGACAAAGACGAAGAAGGAGCCATGGTTGAAATATCACTTCATTGCTCTACCTTAAGAAGTACATGAATAATTTGCAAGTGATTCCATGGCACCTGATTGGCCAACCAAGCAGTTTAATTTGCATTTATGTTTCCATAAATAGAAAATACAGGCCATGCCCACGAGGATTCTACTGTTCCTGATTGGCTCATAGGGTCATGGGTGGGTGGGACTTGGGATGCATTGTCAGTGATTTGGTAGTGTTATCCACTATTTATTTATGAGAATTGATGGATTATGTTTTTGCGTTTTTGGAGGTATAAGGTTTGTGACATTTATACCTCGATATAAACCAGTCAATTCTCAAATATAAAAAAAATATTTTGATTTTCTAAGAATACACATGACTGACGTGCAACTTACTATTTTTCAGACTATCCAAGGATTGTCATGAGAAGTTTGAAAAACTCAAGGATCTTGACATTTGTTCAGTTATTTTCAACCCCAGGCGAGCGGTTGTCATGGTGATGGAACAGACTGGCAGAATGGTGTGTGATGTATTGCTGGATCAGCTCATTTTGCCAGGAGTGGGCAATATCATCAAGAATGAGGTGGGTGAATCCATTGTACTCAGGGGTGGCAATATTATCAAGAATGTGGTGGGTGAATCCATTGTACTCAAGGGTGGCAATATTATCAAGAATGTGGTGGGTGATTCCATTGTACTCAAGGGTGGCAATATTATCAAGAATGAGGTGGGTGATTCCATTGTACTCAGGGGTGGCAATATTATCAAGAATGAGGTGGGTGAATCCATTGTACTCAAGGGTGGCAATATTATCAAGAATGAGGTGGGTGAATCCATTGTACTCGGGGGTGGCAATATTATCAAGAATGAGGTGGGTGAATCCATTGTACTCAAGGGTGGCAATATTATCAAGAATGTGGTGGGTGATTCCATTGTACTCAGGGGTGGCAATATTATAAAGAATGAGGTGGGTGAATCCATTGTACTCAGGGGTGGCAATATTATCAAGAATGAGGTGGGTGATTCCATTGTACTCAAGGGTGGCAATATTATCAAGAATGAGGTGGGTAAACCCTTTGTAATCAAGGGTGGCAACATTATCAGGAATGAGGTGGATGATTATTATTTGTGGTAAAGTTTATGTTCATCAAGAACTGGGGGCGGTCGGGTAGCCTAGTGGTTATAGCGTTCGCTTGTCTCGCCGAAGACCCAGGTTCGATTCCCAACATGGGTACAATGTGTGAAACCCATTTCTGGTGTCCCCCCGCCGTGATATTGCTGGAATATTGCTAAAAGTGTTGTAAAACCATACTCACTCACTCATCAAGAACTCTACCCCAGTGACCACTGTTTGTCGTCAGCGCAACTGAAGTGAAGATTAAGAAGTCACAATGTGTTACAGGACTGGCTCTGTGTGATCATTCAGTGACAGAGTGGACAAGTGTTCAGACTATCTGTCTCTAGGTTGCCTAGACCAGACTATTTCTAACATGCATCCATGTTATAGCAGGATTATTGCTGACTGCAGCTTAAACAACTTTCCCTCACTCACTCTACCACGTTATATTGCAGGCGTTGTATGACAGTGGCATCCGGCCGAATACCAAGGTAAGTGCACCACTAGGATATGTTTACTTTTCAAACTCACAGATAAATGGACACTGTTCATACTGATAAAAATACTAGTGATTTCATCTAGTCCCACAAAACTGATAGTTGAGAAATGAGATTATTTACTCGTCATCAGTGCTCTGAAATTGCCAAGTCCAAATTTTATTTTGCTCATCCATATATTGTATTCCCAGATACTGTAAAATACTTATTGCAACCATGCCTTGGATCAACTTGTTATTGCACCCATGCCTGGCATCAACTTGTTATTGCACCCATGCCTGGCATCAACTTGTTATTGCAACCATGCCTTGGATCAACTTGTTGTTACACCCATGCCTGGCATCAGCTTGTTATTGCACCCATGCCTGGCATCAGCTTGTTATTGCACCAATGCCTTGGATCAGCTTGTTATTGCACCCATGCCTGGCATCAACTTGTTATTGCAACCATGCCTGGCATCAACTTGTTATTGCAACCATGCCTTGGATCAGCTTGTTATTGCACCCATGCCTGGCATCAACTTGCTATTGCACCCATGCCTTGGATCAGCTTGTTATTGCACCAATGCCTGGCATCAACTTGTTATTGCACCCATGCCTTGGATCAGATTGTTATTACACCCATGCCTGGCATCAACTTGTTATTGCACCCATTCCTGGCATCAACTTGTTATTGCAACCATGCCTGGCATCAGCTTGTTATTGCACCAATGCCTGGCATCAACTTGTTATTGCACCCATGCCTTGGATCAGCTTGTTATTGCACCCATGCCTGGCATCAGCTTGTTATTGCAACCATGCCTGGCATCAACTTGTTATTGCACCCATGCCTGGCATCAGCTTGTTATTGCAACCATGCCTGGCATCAACTTGTTATTGCACCCATGCCTGGCATCAACTTGTTATTACACCCATGCCTGTCATCAGCTTGTTATTGCACCAATGCCTGGCATCAACTTGTTATTGCACCCATGCCTGGCATCAACTTGTTATTGCAACCATGCCTGTCATCAGCTTGTTATTGCACCAATGCCTGGCATCAACTTGTTATTACACCCATGCCTGGCATCAACTTGTTATTGCAACCATGCCTGGCTTCAACTTGTTATTGCACCCACGCCTGGCATCAACTTGTTATTGCACCCATGCCTGGCATCAGCTTGTTGTTGCAAACATGCCTGTCATCAGCTTGTTATTACACCCACGCCTGGCATCAACTTGTTATTGCACCCATGCCTGGCATCAGCTTGTTATTGCGCCAATGCCTGGCATCAACTTGTTGTCACACCCATGCCTGGCATCAGCTTGTTATTGCACCCATGCCTGGCATCAACTTGTTATTGCACCCATGCCTGGCATCAACTTGTTATTACATCCATGCCTGGCTTCAACTTGTTATTGCACCCATGCCTGGCATCAACTTGTTATTACACCCATGCCTGGCATCAACTTGTTGTCACACCCATGCCTGGCATCAGCTTGTTATTGCACCCATGCCTGGCATCAACTTGTTATTGCACCCATGCCTGGCATCAGCTTGTTGTTGCAAACATGCCTGGCATCAACTTGTTATTGCACCCATGCCTGGCATCAACTTGTTATTGCAACCATGCCTGGCATCAGCTTGTTGTTGCAAACATGCCTGGGATCAACTTGTTATTACACCCATGCCTGGCATCAGCTTGTTATTGCAACCATGCCTTGGATCAACTTTTTATTACACCCATGCCTGTCATCAGCTTGTTATTGCACCAATGCCTGGCATCAACTTGTTATTACACCCATGCCTGTCATCAGCTTGTTATTGCACCCATGCCTGGCATCAACTTGTTATTACACCCATGCCTGGCATCAACTTGTTATTACACCCATGCCTGGCATCAACTTGTTATTGCACCCATGCCTTGGATCAACTTGTTATTACACCCATGCCTGGCATCAACTTGTTATTACACCCATGCCTGGCATCAACTTGTTATTACACCCATGCCTGGCATCAACTTGTTATTACACCCATGCCTGGCATCAACTTGTTATTGCACCCATGCCTGGCATCAGCTTGTTATTGCACCCATGCCTGGCATCAACTTGTTATTACACCCATGCCTGGCATCAACTTGTTATTACACCCATGCCTGGCATCAACTTGTTATTGCACCCATGCCTGGCATCAACTTGTTATTGCACCAATGCCTGGCATCAACTTGTTATTGCACCAATGCCTGGCATCAACTTGTTATTGCACCCATGCCTTGGATCAGCTTGTTATTGCACCCATGCCTGGCATCAACTTGTTATTGCAACCATGCCTGGCATCAGCTTGTTGTTGCACCCATGCCTGGCATCAGCTTGTTATTGCAACCATGCCTGGCATCAACTTGTTATTGCACCCATGCCTGGCATCAGCTTGTTATTGCACCCATGCCTGGCATCAACTTGTTATTACACCCATGCCTGGCATCAACTTGTTATTACACCCATGCCTGGCATCAACTTGTTGTCACACCCATGCCTGGCATCAACTTGTTATTACACCCATGCCTGGCATCAACTTGTTGTCACACCCATGCCTGGCATCAACTTGTTGTCACACCCATGCCTGGCATCAACTTGTTATTACACCCATGCCTGGCATCAACTTGTTATTACACCCATGCCTGGCATCAACTTGTTATTACACCCATGCCTGGCATCAACTTGTTATTACACCCATGCCTGGCATCAACTTGTTGTCACACCCATGCCTGGCATCAACTTGTTATTACACCCATGCCTGGCATCAACTTGTTGTCACACCCATGCCTGGCATCAACTTGTTGTCACACCCATGCCTGGCATCAACTTGTTATTACACCCATGCCTGGCATCAACTTGTTATTGCACCCATGCCTTGGATCAACTTGTTATTACACCCATGCCTGGCATCAACTTGTTATTACACCCATGCCTGGCATCAACTTGTTATTACACCCATGCCTGGCATCAACTTGTTATTACACCCATGCCTGGCATCAACTTGTTATTGCACCCATGCCTGGCATCAGCTTGTTATTGCACCCATGCCTGGCATCAACTTGTTATTACACCCATGCCTGGCATCAACTTGTTATTACACCCATGCCTGGCATCAACTTGTTATTGCACCCATGCCTGGCATCAACTTGTTATTGCACCAATGCCTGGCATCAACTTGTTATTGCACCAATGCCTGGCATCAACTTGTTATTGCACCCATGCCTTGGATCAGCTTGTTATTGCACCCATGCCTGGCATCAACTTGTTATTGCAACCATGCCTGGCATCAGCTTGTTGTTGCACCCATGCCTGGCATCAGCTTGTTATTGCAACCATGCCTGGCATCAACTTGTTATTGCACCCATGCCTGGCATCAGCTTGTTATTGCACCCATGCCTGGCATCAACTTGTTATTACACCCATGCCTGGCATCAACTTGTTATTACACCCATGCCTGGCATCAACTTGTTGTCACACCCATGCCTGGCATCAACTTGTTATTACACCCATGCCTGGCATCAACTTGTTGTCACACCCATGCCTGGCATCAACTTGTTGTCACACCCATGCCTGGCATCAACTTGTTATTACACCCATGCCTGGCATCAACTTGTTATTACACCCATGCCTGGCATCAACTTGTTATTACACCCATGCCTGGCATCAACTTGTTATTACACCCATGCCTGGCATCAACTTGTTGTCACACCCATGCCTGGCATCAACTTGTTATTACACCCATGCCTGGCATCAACTTGTTGTCACACCCATGCCTGGCATCAACTTGTTGTCACACCCATGCCTGGCATCAACTTGTTATTACACCCATGCCTGGCATCAACTTGTTATTACACCCATGCCTGGCATCAACTTGTTATTACACCCATGCCTGGCATCAACTTGTTGTCACACCCATGCCTGGCATCAACTTGTTGTCACACCCATGCCTGGCATCAACTTGTTATTACACCCATGCCTGGCATCAACTTGTTATTACACCCATGCCTGGCATCAACTTGTTATTACACCCATGCCTGGCATCAACTTGTTATTGCACCCATGCCTTGGATCAACTTGTTATTACACCCATGCCTGGCATCAACTTGTTGTCACACCCATGCCTGGCATCAACTTGTTATTACACCCATGCCTGGCATCAACTTGTTATTACACCCATGCCTGGCATCAACTTGTTGTCACACCCATGCCTGGCATCAACTTGTTGTCACACCCATGCCTGGCATCAACTTGTTATTACACCCATGCCTGGCATCAACTTGTTATTACACCCATGCCTGGCATCAACTTGTTGTCACACCCATGCCTGGCATCAGCTTGTTGTCACACCCATGCCTGGCATCAACTTGTTATTGCACCCATGCCTTGGATCAACTTGTTATTACACCCATGCCTGGCATCAACTTGTTATTACACCCATGCCTGGCATCAGCTTGTTGTTGCAAACATGCCTGGCATCAACTTGTTATTGCACCCATGCCTGGCATCAACTTGTTATTGCACCCATGCCTGGCATCAACTTGTTATTGCATTCATGCCTCACTTTTTAGTGCATCTGTACCTTTTAGGTGAGGTGAGGTGAGGGGCAAATGGGGTTTATTGTCGTGTCCAAGATTATTGCACTTATATAGTGACGGTCATGCAAGAGTGTGTGTGTGTCTGCTTGTACTGCTTTGGACTAATGCCGATTTTATACTGCTTGCCCACTGAGATACCATGCCGCAGTTTAACACGAATACCCCACTCAGACACAGTATAAAGACTCCGAGTTGACCAGTCCTTGTTTTAGCCCCTTCCACTTACCAGGCGGATGCTCCACCACGTGGGTCTTCTGCTCCAGAATCCATCTTGTTATTGCATCAACTTATTATTGCACCCGTACTTGACACTGTCAAATTGTTATTGCAACCAGTCACCTGGAACTGTCGACTTGTTATTGCAACCAGTCACCTGGAACTGTCTACTTGTTATTGCAACCAGTCACCTGGAACTGTCAACTTGTTATTGCAACCAGTCACCTGGAACTGTCAACTTGTTATTGCAACCAGTCACCTGGAACTGTCAACTTGTCTTTGCAACCAGTCACCTGGAACTGTCAACTTGTTATTGCAACCAGTCACCTGGAACTGTCGACTTGTTATTGCAACCAGTCACCTGGAACTGTCGACTTGTTATTGCAACCAGTCACCTGGAACTGTCAACTTGTTATTGCAACCAGTCACCTGGAACAGTCAACTTGTCATTGCACGATGCCTGATAGCATCAGCTTGTTATTGAGCTTGTGTGCCTGCTTATAGCCTTTGGTGACATGTTTGGTAAAATGTTTGGTGAAATGTTTGGTAAAATGTTTGGTAAAATGTTTGGTGAAATATTTGGTAAAATGTTTGGTGAAATGTTTGGTGAATGTCAGTAATATAAGTCCAGACTGTTCATGTTCTGATTGTATGTGTAAGGAGTTTTCTTATTTTTATTTGTTTCATAGATCGAAAACTTGACTGAGGACCACATCTCTCTGTTGGTGAAGATGACCCGTGACTTTACCATGGTTTTCTATAAGGTAACTCTCTTCTTAGCTGAGAATATTTTGATTTTCTTAATTGACAATACAGTTGTTCCTTCCAAGATTTCTCGATTTGAGGTATCGTAATAGAAAAACTAGAATCAGAAAAAACATTCTTTAAGTACATCTATTCCTAATGTGGTTAATTGTTTAACAAATGGTACAGCAGCTCGTACTGATTGAAGGCGTGACTTCATCTCCTGGAGTCCGTTGTACAGTCTTATCATTTAGTGGGTTGTAGTCATCTTTCCTAGGAAAGGTAGTTAACTGACTTTAAAACTCCAGTTTTCACACTTGCCGAACAAAGCTGGCATTCCGGTGTTACGTTTTAGCTGGACTAACGAGTCTATGCATAGTCCAATCAAAACTGCATAATTAACTAGACATCCAGTTCGTAAACAACATGGATTTTAATGTGCAGATTCAGGTCGACTGAAGGATTTGCAAAGCATGTGGTCCGCCAACTCGGCGTCAACAGATATTTTGCAAATATGTTCATGTTTTTAATCAAAGTGTTCAAGTGATTGGGTGCACTTCGCGAGGTAAAACACGTTTTATAACCATATAGATCTTGATTTTCGATAAGATTGTCTTGACTGCAATCATTTGGTTTGAAGCAAATGCAAGTGATATGAAAGATGGAATCTGATTGGTCAGTAGGAGGGACATAGGAGTGACATAATGAGTAATAGATGGTGGCACTACGATAAAGCCAGTTTGGCAAGGGTGGAAACTGGACTTTTATATCCAGTTAACTGCCTTGCCTCGGGGAGATGCGTGGTAGTAATATTTCCTAAATATTTGACCTAAAACATTTTTTTACCTGAAAGTGTCTACTTCTTATTGCATGTGTCCAGCAGTGTCACCTTGTTGCACCCATGCCTGACAGTGTCACCTTGCAGCTGCACCCATGCCTGACAGTGTCACCTTGTTATTGCACCAATGCCTGACAGTGTCACCTTGTTGCACCCATGCCTGACAGTGTCACCTTGTTATTGCACCCATGCCTGACAGTGTCACCTTGTTGCACCCATGCCTGACAGTGTCACCTTGTTGCACCCATGCCTGACAGTATCACCTTGTTATTGCACCCATGCCTGACAGTGTCACCTTGTTATTGCAACCCGTGCCTGACAGTGTCACCTTGTTGCACCCATGCCTGACAGTGTCACCTTGTTATTGCACCCATGCCTGACAGTGTCACCTTGTTATTGCATCCATGCCTGACAGTGTCTTCTTGTTGCACCTATGCCTGACAGTGTCACCTTGTTATTGCACCCATGCCTGACACTGTCACCTTGTTATTGCACCCATGCCTGATGCTGTTGTTGCAGTGTCGCCGGGACGGCAAGCCGCTGCGGCCGTATGAGAAGGTGTACCACGTGGGGAAGTGCCGGCAGTGTGGGGGGAGGATCACCACCACCAGGATGGGGGAGGACAATCCCAGGGTCACCTACTTCTGTGACAACTGTCAGAACAACGACCTCGCACGCTTCCGCAAACAGTGAGTCTCTCAGGCTTTTGCTAAGGTGCTGCAATTTGCTGTGCTGTGTTGCGTCCCTTGGACATGACACAAACCTATAATTGTGGGTTCGATTCCTGATTCACCTAGATAATGTATCTATGCTTGTCGGCACCATACCTATGCTCGTGGGTTTCACCAAAGTGATAAACGTCCGAGACCTGCATAACTTCAAGCTTCCTCCCTCATTAAGCGGACTGTCGTGATATACGTAACTGCAATAATGTTATGAGCGGCATTAAACCCAACTCATTCTGGTTTCTGCTATAGATCACATTTTCTCAAAGCATCTTTTTTATCCTTGGATGAATAAAATTTGATCATATTTCTATGCCTCTTTTTCTGAAATCTGGTCTATGTCAATACTTGTTCTGTACAAGGGGTATTGAGTATTGAGCTGGCTTTAATACTGCTTTGGACATTATATCATGTTTTGATTTGGGAGGAAAGCCTTACGTGATGCACATCTTAGACGCATGCTGCTTTAATGAAAACCAAGAAACATACTGGTAATCAAGGCAAAACTAGATTCAACCCTGATCAGTGATTTCTGGCATGCCTGAGGGAAGCAACTCTGCACAGCTAATTGGGGCATCGGGATGACTACATCCATCTGCGCCCCTTCATGCAATAAGTACATTGACTTGGGCCAGTAAATAAAAATGCATGTTTTCATCAAATAGTGATTGACATAATGAGCATTGATCTTCTCAATCAGGATACAATATGCATCAACCAAGCTAGCGAACCTGACCAAATGATCTGGTTAGTTGTCTCTTACAACAAACATGGGTTACTGAAGACAAATTCTAACCCAAATCTTCACGGGTGCTTGTCATCAGAGGCGACTTAAGGGTCGTATGGTCAGATTCAGGGACTTGATTGTGTATCATCATACCTGGATCATGCCAAAGGCATGGATCCTTGCTCAAATCAGTCACTGGAAAATCTAGTCCAGACTGTTTCCATCATATAGCTTTATGTTGCTGAGTGCGGCATTAAACAACAAACAAAAGAAACAATATGATCTCAATCACTTTGGTTTCAGAAAACTCTCAACAAAGAACAGTTTATTAGGCTGGGTCAACACGGGCAATGTCCAAAAGGAAGTCAAAGACTGGGCGTGCTCAGTATGCACTCTGATAAATTCAGCCAATCAAACAAACTGTTCCGTCTGCCTCACACCAAAAGATGGTCGACCAAACCTGACAGCTCAGAACCAGTTCCCACAACCAGTGGGACATGCTTTTGTACCAGATGAAGCATTGACAGAACAACCACAGAACTCTGTCGTCAAAAAGTCAAAGTACACTTTCAGGAAGAGGTCTTTATCTGGCCTGAACACATCAGTGAACACTTCAGTAAGTTCTAGTGCTGACAATCTTGTGCAGGATTCCGATCAGATGCATGCAAAACGACAGAAATTATCAACAGTGTCACGAACCCAGAATTCAAATCCTCCAAACCAGAAAAGTACAGGAGCTAAGCCGATACCAAACAGGAGTGTGTCTGAGGCTTCAAACAGGAGTCAAGGAGGGGAGGTAACTGCTGTGCCCGACATGATACCTCCCTGTCCCGGACACAAGAGACGATGCTTCATGAAGCAGTGCTGGAAGGAGAACGAGAACCGAGGCAGGTGGTTCTTCACCTGTAGCTTGCCACGGGCCAAGCAATGCAAGTTCTTTCAGGTGAATAAATTATACCAATATTTCATTTTACAAACTAAAGCATGGCTTAATGACATCTACTATCTGTATTAACTGAAGAGTGTTTCTTTTTTCAAAGGGCTAAAAGTGATTAAGTTGAACTTTCCAAATAGAAAGGGAGTATGTCTATGTGCCAGTATAGGTTTTGTGAACTGGATATTTCACTGGGCTATCATGGAGAGACCATGGTCTGTGTATCAGCTGGAAACTATGGTTCACTGAGGCTGGGATGACACACCAACTGTGCGATCTGATACGCGTCATAATACTTGCATGTCATCTTATTTGTAGTGCATGCTTTTTCATAGACAGGATGGCTAAATGTTTTTTTAGACCTACAATCTTGCAGTTGTCCCCTATATTGCAAAGCCGACAAACACAGTCGTGATCGGATACTGCCAAGCTACGTAGCCAATTAAATTGTTCCACTTGAATGTAGCACTTAAAGAGAGGTAACTCTATATAAACTGTGTATACGATATCTGATATTCTGTCAAGCTTGTGCCAAAACGACAATTATGGCACAAGGGATGAAATTATTTTGTGTTTGTTTGGTATAAATTATTAAAGTAAGAATGGATTTTGTAATCGCTACTTGTATCTTAAAGTTTTGCCATCTACCGATGCATTGTCCCACAATGACGGTTCATGTGTATGCATAAACTGAATTCCTTTTATTTCCCGCTTTCAGTGGGCGGACACACAGTTCCCTATATGTGAAGGTCATGGCAAGCCATGTGCATTCAGGACTGTGATGAAAGAAGGGCACAACAATGGCAAGAAGTTCTTTGCGTGTCCTCTCGGTAAACAGAAGCAGTGCGGCTTCTTCCAGTGGGCAGTTGGCTATGAGGACTGACTGTGTCATGATGTACACAAAATAAAATCTACTTTATGTTTGATACTGATCTGTACAGATGTGGAACAGGCTGCAATATTTCACTATACACGCACTGAGATGTGAGGAACACCATAGACTCCTTAATTTGTCAGACACTGTTATATGCATATGTCTGTAGTGTTCAACAGGGGTTTAGCAGGGTTTAGCATGGCCTGATAGCAATACATAAGCTGAAAGACAGGTTACACCATTAAGTTTCAATGGATGTAATAAAATGATTAAAAAGACAATCATTTACATTAGGCTAAAAAAAATTAATAGTCTTAGTTCTCTAAAAACAAAACGTGCAGCAGACTTTAAGATGATGGGGCTGGTGCCTGAGAACCAAGACTATTATTTCTTTTAGCCTTATCTCCTTTTTTTAAATTGAAGACACTTTGACATCCATTCAGGAACATTCATTGTCTTGGATCGGAAGGGGAGCAATGCCTTTTCTGTGGATGGGTTGTTCTGCACAGTAAGTGTTCTGTATGCAAGGACAGGTGTTCTGTATGCAAGGACAGGTGTTCTGCACATTAGGTGTTATGTATGCCAGGATAGGTATTGTTCACATGAGTTTTTCTCTATGCAAGGACAGGTGTTATGCACATTAGGTGTTCTGTATGCAAGGACAGGTGTTCTGCACATTAGGTGTTCTGTATGCAAGGGCAGGTGTTCTGCACATTAGATGTTCTGTATGCAAGGGCAGGTGTTCTGCACATTAGATGTTCTGTATGCAAGGGCAGGTGTTCTGCACATTAGGTGTTCTGTATGCAAGGGCAGGTGTTCTGCACATTAGGTGTTCTGTATGCAAGGGCAGGTGTTCTGCACATTAGGTGTTCTGTATGCAAGGGCAGGTGTTCTGCACATTAGGTGTTCTGTATGCAAGGGCAGGTGTTCTGCACATTAGGTGTTCTGTATGCAAGGGCAGGTGTTCTGCACATTAGATGTTCTGTATGCAAGGGCAGGTGTTCTGCACATTAGGTGCTCTCTATGCTAGGACAGGTGTTCTGCACATTAGGTGTTCTGTATGCAAGGGCAGGTGTTCTGCACATTAGGTGTTCTGTATGCAAGGGCAGGTGTTCTGTATGCAAGGGCAGGTGTTCTGCACATTAGGTGCTCTCTATGCTAGGACAGGTGTTATGCACATTAGGTGTTCTGTATGCAAGGACAGGTGTTCTGCACATTAGGTGTTCTGTATGCAAGGGCAGGTGTTCTGCACATTAGGTGTTCTGTATGCTAGGACAGGTGTTCTGCACATTAGGTGTTCTGTATGCAAGGGCAGTTGTTCTGCACATTAGGTGTTCTGTATGCAAGGGCAGGTGTTCTCTATGCTAGGACAGGTGTTATGCACATTAGGTGTTCTCTATGCAAGGACAGGTGTTGTGCACATTAGGTGTTCTCTATGCTAGGACTGGTGTTATGCACATTAGGTGTTCTGTATGCAAGGAAGAGCATTCTTCACATTAGGTGTTCTGTGTGCCAGGTTAGGTGTTCTGTATGCAAGGACAGGTGTTCTGCACATTAGGTGTTCTCTATGCAAGGACAGGTGTTCTGTATGTGAGAAAAGTATCACTGCCCTTAGATATACAACAGACAAGAGTGCTGGACAATATATGTTTAATGAGTCTGTTGTAACAATCCTGACACCATAAAACAACACTGACCATTCATCCATACCACCATGAATTATATTAATGATTTACTTTCTGACCGACATCAATGAAATATATTATCATCATAAACCAAATAAGGAAAATAGTAAGTAGAAAATTATAAAAAATACTAATTTTGTGAAGCCAGTTCAGGCCGCAACACTACCGACACAAAAAACATTTGATTCATGCACATCAAAACCCATCTGTGGCACCATTGTATTGTTGGAGCACTCCATTATATTTCAGGAAGGGACATTTGCGTGTGTGTTCTGTCGCTGTTGCATGTGCTCCATCATGAACTGATGTTGGCAATGCATGTTACAGAACTCTTTAGAATGTTTTGTCTAAAGTCTAGTGAGTGAGTTTGGTTTTTGGAGCAATATTCCAGCAATATCACGGCAGGGGACACCAGAAATGGGCTTCACACATTGTACCCATGTCAGCATTCGAACCCGGGTCTTCGGAGTGACGAGCGAACGCTTTAACCACTAGGCTACCAACCGCCCTTGTCAAAGTCTAAGACTAGGGAAGTGTTGTGAGTAGCGGTATATCCTTGTTACTCTCAATTCCTTAAATATACAGGCCCTCGGTTCCATTATTTTTAAGGAATGGAGATTTTCTCGGACATTCCTCTCAATGAAAACTACAACTGAGTCGAGCTAGATGTCTTGTCCATAGATTCGTCTACAATAGAACATTCAAAATGGTGTGAATCAAGTTCAATATTTTCAAAACCAATGTAGTATCATAAAATGTTGCAATTTTCCATTTCACACCTGTTACATTTATTTGACATAATGCTGATAGGTCAGCACAGAAAGAATGCAAAGTTTCAGATTCATTTGAAAACAAACACATCATGGAATACATCTCACTGTATCAAATACTTCATTTTCAACCCGACAATGCCTTGTTGATAGACATGTTGACTTTGTAGAGTACAATGTCAAGTACAAAACCTCAACATATAATGTACACAAACACTGGTAAGGGACAGGTGATTTATTACAAGGGTGGGTGGATGAGTGAGTGCTTTTTGTTGCACTAATGTACTGAAAATAATGACTCTCCAAAATGCTTTTCAATTTTGAATTACCTCCCCCTGTCCTTGTACTTTTTATCTAGATTAACACTTAGTCTACAAAAACATTTCTTTAAAATAATTGTGTTCCTTTTTAAAAACACACACTTTCTTCTGCTATTTTCTTAATGTGGAATCAAGGAAACTAGACTTGGTTTAGATTCATATAGACTTGCCTAGGCTTTTTGTAAAAAACATATTTACATATGTATATTACAGTCATGGTGCTGGACTATATTTTTTTCATAACCTTCCTGAAAAGACAAAGCACTTCATATTTGATCATAAAATGTAATTTTTTACAGACACTCCCTAAATACAATATGTCTCATTAATCCGACACACGTTAATCCGACAATCAGCTTTATCCGACACTAATGACTAGTGCTAGTTAGACCACTTAATCAGACAGTCTCGCACTCCGACACACCTAATTTGCAACAAATTACTGAAATCACTCTCGTTAATCCGACACAGTGATCAGCGTACTCCATGGTCATCTGCCCACGAGTACACAGCCTGTGTATTGATACGAGACGAGTCAGCTGGTAGCTGCATATTACAATGGCTGCAGAGATAAACTTGCTTCACAATAAACAATTAATGCTTTAAATAAAGAAAACAGGATTAATCACATGCTTAGATTACCTCAATCTCATTAAAATCAGATACAAGTTCTCGCTATCGCCAAGGACATCCCATTACAGGTCACGGCACAACAACTTTTCGCGAACCAATGAAAAGACTAACAGGGAGTCAACATTAGCCACTTAGTTTGCGGTACCAGTTCTCAAACTTGCGACTTCCATTCCAGACTATGCTTTTTAAAGTATTTTGAATACATGTAAGTCATACAGTCCGTAACAGTTGTTTTGTGTTAAGCTTTAGAGGTTTCATGATTAGAAAACATATTCTGTCAACAATGTAACATAGCAATATGAATATGATTTTTTTATTACGTGTTTGAATCATTATCTATCATGTAGTTGTCCGATTTTCGATCACAAACGTTTATACTACTTAATTTCGTTTATCTGACATACTTGTTTATCCGACATAATCATATGCAACCAACCATGTCGGATTAACAGGACTGTAAGTGGATTATTTTATTATGACCCTCCCTAAGTGGTTGTCATATGTTTGGATGACACTCCCCCGAACACCCCATAATAACACACTTGTCCCACATACATGTAAGTACTGAAACTATCATGCTGCTGTACGTGGTTCCTCACAATGAGAATGTATGAAAATGCATCACTGAGATCTAGATGACCAGTGGTCACTAAGGGGGCTTGAAGTTCTGTGTGAGCATCTTCCGGTTGAGTTCCGCCAGGATCACTGAGTACTGCAGAGCCTTCTCTGGGGGCAGGCTGGAAAACAGATCTTCTTCCTGGGTGGTTCTTTGTTCTTATGGAGAGAAAAAAACTAATTATTTCAGTTTTCATGCTCGTTAATCTTTAACTTTAGGACAGAAAAATACAAAAAATATAGTCTTTGTGGAGGCTGTCTGTAAATAATCAAGTCTGGGCCAGACAACCCAGTGATTGATATCATGAGCATCAGTCTACACAATTAGGACACGACATTCATCAATGAAGTCATCGAGTCTGACCACCCGATCCTGTCGTCTCTTTTGACAAGCATGGACTGCTGAAGATCTATTCTAACCTGGATCCTCCCAGGGGATTTCACTTTGTTATTTATGAAGAAAGAAAAAACACCAAATTATTTCACCCTTGGTTCATTATGGGAGAAAACATTTCTTTCGCACTCTACTTTAGGCAGTGTCACAAATTCAACAAGTTTCTTGCGCTATACTTATATCCTCTTGTATGTGAACCTAGGAACCCCCTTATGTTTTAAGTATTAACATAAGTATTCTGACAAGCAGCCCAGGATTTTTCTGCTTAACTTTGAAAACTGTTTTGAAATCAATGTTTCAGCCTTCACATGATACCGAGTGCCAATCGACACAGCTATCTGGAAAGTCTGCCAAATTTTAAAGTGTGACAACTCACAGACATTCGTAGGTGTACATAAAAAAATTTTCATAACCTATGAGACCTGTGAAGATCTGGGCAAGAACAGGTCTTCAGCAACCAATGCTTGTCGAAAAAGGCAACTAACAGGATCAGGTGGTCAGGCTCACCGACTTGGTTGATGCATGTCATCGCATCACCATTGGGTGGATCGATGCTCATGATATCAATCACTAGATTGCCTGGTCAAGACTCCAATATTTTCAGACCGTCGTCATATAGCTGGAATATTGATGAGTGTGGCATTAAACAACATACAAACAAAACAAATCATAACCATTAGGATTGTGGAAAATGCTTACCAGTAACACAGATTGTTTAACATTTGCAAACAATGGGAAATCGATAATTCCAAGACCCATACCTTTCGGCTTCTCCTCAGATTTTGACCTGTTCAGGGACCCTTTAGGCCTTCCCCTTTTCTTTTTAGGACTTTCAGGGGCAGGCTAGAAACAAATTATTATACACTGTTAACATCCTGTGATTCCACCAGCAAACCTAGAAACAAATTATTATACACTGTTAACATGCTGTGATTCCACCAACAAACCTAGAAACAAAATATTATACACTGTTAACATGCTGTGATTCCACCAACAAACCTAGAAACAAAATATTATACACTGTTAACATGCTGTGATTCCACCAACAAACCTAGAAACAAATTATTATACACTGTTAACATCCTGTGATTCCACCAGCAAACCTAGAAACAAATTATTATACACTGTTAACATCCTGTGATTCCACCAGCAAACCTAGAAACAAATTATTATACACTGTTAACATCCTGTGATTCCACCAGCAAACCTAGAAACAAATTATTATACACTGTTAACATCCTGTGATTCCACCAACAAACCTAGAAACAAATTATTATACACTGTTAACATCCTGTGATTCCACCAGCAAACCTAGAAACAAATTATTATACACTGTTAACATCCTGTGATTCCACCAGCAAACCTAGAAACAAATTATTATACACTGTTAACATCCTGTGATTCCACCAGCAAACCTAGAAACAAATTATTATACACTGTTAACATCCTGTGATTCCACCAACAAACCTAGAAACAAAATATCAACATCCCCTTAGCCAAGCAATGGCTAACCACGTAAAAGTATCATTTGCAAGACTCGTCTATAGTCCCAGTCTATTGTTTCTGGGAGTTGTGTAAGGCTGCTTTTAACAGTAGTTCAGAAAAACTAAAGGTTTGTCCTTGTCAGCAATTTGACATGAAAACACTTCATCAGTGTTAATTAAGTATGTATTTTATGTGATCCAACACTGGTATTTAATAATGTTAATCAAATGCACATACAAGTGCGCAGCTAGCTACTTTATCACCATACAGGGTTAGGAACTAACAGCTTTTGTCCACTAGTCCTTATAATGATAACATATAGCAAAACCCTTAAAATGGGCCAATTTCTACAAGTCCTTGGGATACCTTTACTATTGGGCTATTTGGCAAGGACTAGTGCCAATTTCTAACGCTGCGGCATACATTAACTGGACACGCCTAGCATCAGTGAACATGTCGTGAGAGAGTGAGGGAGGTTCCATGCAACTTTGAACAGTATTCCAGTTATATCATGATGTGTCAGCTTGATGTGGGAAGAAAGTCCAAAGTGATGCAGGACTTAAACTTTTACCACTTTGGTGAAACCCACGAGCACGGGAACGGTGCTGACAAACCTAGAAACATAATCAGGGTGACCTGGGAATCAAACACACGATCACAGGTTTCTGCCAAAGGGACGCAACCTGGCACAGCGAATGGCCAACCGTACCCCTGAACCTGTTGAAGCAAATCATGCACAGGTTTGGTCTACAGCATCTTCCCGAGGCAAGAGAGTTAACTGACTTTAAAAGTCCAGTTTCCACCCTTGCCGAACTTGGCTGGAATTCCTGGGCTCGATCGTAGCGCCACCAGTGGCTATTACGAGTTATGTCCTTTCTATGCCTCTCCTATTGACCAATCAGATTCCACCTCTCGTATCACTTGCATTTGCTTCAAACAAAACAGTGGCGCCCAGTCAAGACGATCTGATCGATAATCAAGATCTAAATTGTGTTAAAAGGAGTCTTAAATCGCGAAGTGCATCAAATCACGTGAGCACCTTGATTAAAAACATGAAAAGATTTAGAAAATAACTGTTGACGAGTTAGCGGTGCACATGCTTTGCAAATCCTGCAGTTGACCGAAATCTGCATTACACTTTACGAACCAGATTTCGATTTTGGTGCGCGATTTTGATTGGACTATGCAGAGACTCGTTAGTCCAGCCAAAATGTAACTCCATAATACCAGCCTAGTTCGGCAAGGGTGGAAACTGGACTTTTATAGTCAGTTAACTCTCTTGCCTCGGGAAGATGGGTCTACAGTGGACATCAGCAGCACGAAGTAACAACCTTCAGCCTTTGCCTTATGCCACTATAAAAATCATGCCATCAGAATTGAACATTTTCCACATTCATGGTACAATTACAAACACTGACCTCTGGTATACTGACCTCCTGCTTACTGACCTCCGGCTTACTGACCTCCGGTTTCTTGACCTTCTTGTTGCTATACTCTAGTTCCAGGGGATTGAAGAAGTCGGGACGGACTCGCTTTGTCCGAACCGTTCGTCTCCGCATAGGCTCTTGCTCTCCATCGCCATTGTTCCCCTCCCCATCTGGCAACAACAAATCATAGATATAAGCAAAAACATTATTTGAAAAAAGATTTTTCCTAAATAATATGATTAACATAATAGGCTACTGCTTGTGCATTCCACAAATTCCCCCTCATTCACAAATATTTCTCCCAAAATATAGAATTAACTTTGAAAATAAACATGAACAATGATGAAGCGTGTAACCATGGTAACTTACATGTAGGAGGTGTCTTCCCGTCTGGCGACTTCTGAGACTGGGAAGATGCCCGACCTCGTGTCGGGAACTGGTGCCCACAAGTACAGCCCTTGCATGCCACCGGCACCTGTAACACACAGGAACTGGTAGAAACCAACCTAACAGTAAATGTATAGCCAGAGGCTAATAAAATTCTCCTCGATCTATGATATGGGAAACAGAGCTAGACCAATGATTGTCATAGAATTGAAGATGATTTCATTGAAAAATCAGTTAGAACTAAGAAGTATGGCAGATAATTCATCATAGAGATAAGTTTGATTACACATTTTAACATTGTTCCAATCTCATTAAAATCAGGTCTTAGTTCTTGCTAATCCTAAACAAAGATCTAAGGTCACGTCAAAACGACCTTTCATCAGACCAATCAAAGCTTTGCTTACCAGATCATGAAAGTGAAAGTTGGAATGTTTTTTCTAATCATGCAACCTTATAAACGTTAACATGGGGTATTCCGAACAACAGTTACGACCCGTACGACTGATTCTGTCAAAATCATCGTCTATCTCTCGCTTCTGTGGGATAAACATTTGAACAGAAGAGGCATTGCACAGCACTGCCATACAATCTCAACCATATTTTAGACATCCCGGAATGTTTGTTTGTTCAGTTTTCACAATTATAATCGAGAACTGTGTCAACATATATTTCAAGCGTAATCTGAAATGGAAGTCGCCAGGTTGAAACGAGAGTCGTAATGCTCGAGAAAGCTGCTTTCTAATTGGCTGATGTCGACTTCTAGTTAGTAATTTCAGTGGTCGGTCAAAGTATGTGAAAGGTCGTTCCAACGGGACCCGTAATGGGATGTCCTCAGATCTTTGTTTAGTGGCAGCGAGGGCTTAGATCTGATTTTAATGAGATTGACATCGTTCATTTATCCACCTTAAAATAGTGATATTTACTGGTGCCATACACTGCCAACATGTGTACAAAGAGGGTAAATGTTGACCAGATATTTACAAGTAATAAAAGCATTGTCTACAGCAGTGGACATGAGGGCTGGGATGGGTAACTCGGGTACTTGGGTTGGGTGGGTCCCGAGTAGGACCCGGGTACCTACAGGACTACGTGGACCCGTGGTTAGTCACGTGATATATTGTTTAATGACAAAAATTACCTAAAACTCTATGGTTATGCTATAAGTCACTAATGTTCCCATTTCTTTCTGAAAATTTCACTTTAGTGTATGCATGACCAGATCGTTTTACACGTGTATCTTAATACATTTTGACAGGGCTACGTTCAAACTTTTTCAAATTGGACAGTTTGTACCTATCTCTAAATATCTACAGCGGGTACTTGGGTAATAGGTTGGTGGGTACCTGGGTAGTAAATCTGGACTCGTCCCAGCCCTATCGAACATGTATACAGCATCCAGCAGGGTTAGTTGGTTGTTGGTTTGTTGTTTAACGCCACACTCAGCAATATTCCAGCTATATGACGGCAGTCTGTAAATAATCGAGTCTGGACCAGACAATCCAGTAATTGATATCATGAGCATTGATACAAGCAATTGGGATCGATGACATGCATCAACCAAGTCAGCGAGCCTGACCACCCGATCCTGTTTAAAATAATAAGTCGCCTCTTACAACAAGCAGAGTCGTCTTTTACGGCAAGCATTAGGCCTAGTCGTGTGTATGGATCAAATATGTGTACGCAGCAAAAAATATTACTGAACAAATTTGATGCATGGAAATTTAAAACTTAGCTGAAATATACATAAGTTCGCTGACTTAGTTATTTTAAGAGACTACCAAGCTCTCAGAAGAAAGACATCTATTCAATATTTTCAGAAGTTGGCAATTTGCATTATTGGTGCTGCAAAACAACGTGTGAACTAGACGTGCTAGAACCATGCTTCAGCTATGTGGTGCTAAACAACATACACATCTTCACTGGAAAGCAAGGTATTGGCCTGAACTAGTCAACTAGTCAACTCCAGTTGGTAAATATTTGGCACTAAACTTATTCTTTGAAACAAATTTTGTAAGATAATACCACTATAATCAAGTGAACATTGAAATTGTATACTTGTTATTTGAAACTGTCTTTGGAGTGCAGTTGTACCAATCAATGTACTAACAAACAGAATCACTGCCCATGTTATAGAGCAAAGATAGTTTTAGCCTAACTTATTAAAGTTTTGGACAAATGTAATTGTGACATAGCTATTACAAGAAACTCGGGTTCAAAATAACGTAAATGGGTATTCATGAAAATCTAAAAAGTCAAATATTTGGCAAAGATTTATATCATCCCTTCTGGCTCCCCATTGTGCACACCTTGCAAATGTTTTAGTAATGGGAAGTAATAATTAGGCCATAGTTCCTCGAGGCCTACTTCAAGACATTGAGATCTAGTAGCAAGGCCACTCAGTACCTTTTGCTTCACACAGGAACTCTATTCCATCGATATTCCAAAACACAGCTTTTTTCATTAAACAAACAAGGCCAAAACATCAACGAGGCTAACTTTACTTCAAACTAGACCTTAGACCCACAGTTTAGAAAACGTGTGGGCTACAAAACCTGTAAATTTTAACAATATTCAACAAAATATTGCATATCCTTCAGTTTGTGTACCTGTTGCTGGCATACTGGGCACTTCTTGACTACCGTCCTGTCGAATTTCTTTCGTACCATCTACTGATAAACAAATCCGCTCATTTTTAGAGCATTTTGCAGCTGAGAAACTTGCAAATTTGCTGTATAAGTTGGTGCAACTGTTGTACCAGGTCAGGCTGACCCGCTTTGACGAGCACTTGTTGTAAGCGCCATCTGTAAATATGTGTAGACAGGGGGAGATAAGTCTAAAGAAGCGCTTGTAAAATATTGACAAAGTGCCCGGTTTTCCTTTTCGTTGACCAACCGTCATACATGAGTGTAGCTATGGTCTCTGATGTCCCTATTTAGAATTTTAGCATAATTAATATTGTCAGTTGACGGAAATTACAAATATCTGTTAATAACGGTTCGTATTTTCCTAAACACAATCGAGTCGGCATCGCGACCTGCTGTATACACGACATGACGTCTGTAAATATGACATGGTTTGTCGACAGATTTGTACTTGCTCAATCTAGTCACGACTTGTGTCAAAATACTAACATTATCGTATCTTAAGTATATGTTTTTGGTATACGGTTTGTACCCGTTATGAACTAAAAGACACACATATATCACAAGCGACACTATACAAAAATACCAAAAGAAAGAAAAAAACCCTACAGAAACTTACCCTATAAATTAGATCATTACTTTGTGTTACGTCATGCAATATTTTATCAACTTTTACAGTAAACTCCAGAAGACCGTGTATTGGAAACACAAATTCTACTAGATCATTTTGATGAGAGTAACAATAATTGAACTATAATATTAATATGCATATTCACTGTTTAAATAATAACGTCTTTCTTTATTTTCAGCTTTAAATGAGCCTATTATCCTTCTTTGTCCTAGCGTTTAAAGTGTCAAACTGACAAGACATTTCGCCCTTAGGCGATAGTACTAAATAGACTTGACAAACCGCGAAGCATGGACTTCACACAAATCTTAGACGACGATCCGACTCAGTCTTGTGGGTGACCGCTATGACGTCATTCCTCCCACCACGTGTGACGCCCAAGAGAATCTTCCAGGTCCGCATTCCTCAGGCAAACTTTACCTTTGGGGCAGTAGGTAAACAGAGACACGTGCATGGCCGGGTTATTATTAGCTGACTCAACACCTCCTATACCGCAGTGTGTCTAGCAATGATTGATCGCCATGCGTGTGTGTACACTACAGGACCTGTGCCTACATAATTTCACGACGGTACATATCCATATATTGTATATAATTCTATAAACACACGCAAGTAACGTAGGTGTCGGTTTATGAATACTCGATCCAGAAAATTCTTTATGGTGATATTTCATGCTTATTAATAAATAACATCTTTAAATTTAAACGTGGGAAAAGATAAATTTAAAAATATAATTTTATGTCGAAAAGAGATTTTGAAAAGCATTTGTATTTACTATAATTAATACTCATAGATATCCTGTACGTTATATTTGATGTTTTACCATTTACAACCTCTAATCAGTTACTTGAATACAGCATTCGTCACAGCGAAAGGATTTCACTGAAATTAAAACATCTGTGACGTCATTCTATTGTTTGAACGCTCCGTTATTTTTCAGGAATGGAGAGATGTTTTTCAACGAAACATTATTTTCATCCAACATTTGAATTAATTTCCGCTTGGAATAAACGGAACTTTTTTTACATTTATTGACAAGTGAATAATTTCATCCCCCCTGGCTGTGTATGTGTTTGTGGAAATGGCGTTGTAAGTTGGACAACGTTTGCCATATCCATTTGACCTTTTAATGTCAATAAAATATGTTTAAAACGAAAGACAACAATACACGTGTTTCATCTTATTCACTGGCACGAACAGTGCTGACAGACGTTCTTTTTTAAGAGAAGGTAAGTTCCACCAAGTGTCAGTCCAAGCAAGCTTAATTGAATCTGGTATTGAAAAAACTCAAAGCCTTATGATTTAGACAAGTCAGCAAAATAACATTTCGGGTAATGCAATTAAAATGACATATACAAAGAGATTGACAAAACAACAAAAGGGCTACAAAGGATGAGGTGAGGTGAAATTGTGTTAAACGTCGCGTCCAAGATTATTGCACTTATATAGCGACGTGCATGCACGTGTATGTGTGTGTGTGGCTGCTTGTAGTAGTCCGGACTGATGCCGATGTATAGTGCTAGCTCACTGAGATACCATGCGGCAGTTTAACATGAATACCCCACTCAGACACAGTATACTGACTCCGAGCCGACCGGTCCTTGTTTTAGCCCCTTAATGCCGAGCGCCAGACGGGGTAACAACAAGTACAATCTTTTAACGTCTTTTTGTATGACGCGCCCGGGGATGGAACCCCGGACCTTCCGCTCTCCGGGCGGACGCTCTAACACAAGACCACGGAGGCGTTCTCAAAGGATGACGAGGGATGAAGTGAAAAGACCAAGTCTGAAATACGGTTGTGATAAGGCGTTGTGATTACAGTGTATTGTATATGGAAACGTCACTAAATGATTATTTTTGTTTGTTTGTTGTTAAACGCCGCATTCAGCAATATTCCAGCGACGGTCTGTTAGTAATCGAGTCTGGACCAGCCAATCCAGTGATTGACAACATGAGCATCGATCCACGCAATTGGGATACGATGACATGCATCAACCATAACAGTCAGTTAATACGGTTTATACAATGACACATCGAAAGTCGGGGGGTCGCCAAAAATTATCACAACTATAAGGTGGTGGCGTCCTAAAAAATGACACATTTCTAAAAATGTTACACAAAATGGGTTGGGTTGGTGCACATACACAGTTTAAAAAAGATTTTATACAGGTATGTTTTAAGGCCTTTTCATCAAACGGGTGAAGTACGCACGACCCCCAACCCTGCCTGGTCGCCTAGTTCACCCTTGTCTGTTCAGCTGGCCTATGACATGCACTGCCGCCACGCCCTTCTCTGAGGTTCCCATCAATTAATGTACATGGCAATAGTTTGTTGACCTCTCTGAGCACGTCACAAAATGATTAATTCCAAACACCGACAAGTCTCCCAAACACGTCGGCATGTTCATGTACCTTACTCCGCACACCGTTTGTTAGATCGTGGTTAGCTCAAGTCATGCCGCGAGTAGAGATCACCGCCTTTCCCACGTTCAAATAGTACGTTGAATGTCGTATGCAAACTGCAATACCATGTGATTCATTGAACGAGGTCGAAGTTGCAAAAATAGTAGATCATATCTCGACAACATCGTAAGTGTGATCGAGCAAACATGGTGGATACTGAATGTCGCCGCTACGATCAGACACGACGGGGCCGTTTTCACAAAGTTATCTTAGAGATATAATATTAAGTCTACGTTAATATATATGAGTTACGGTAGTCGTAGCGGTAACATCGGGGACTAAGCCCCTGTACCATAAAGAGACCCGGCCCGGTTCTACAAAACAATCTTAACGAATATTGACAATCGTAATGCTCATACCCTAAGATAGATTACGAGAGTCGTAGCTCCCATAAACTAACGTTGACTTACGATAGGCGTAACTCCCATACACTAACATTGAATTACGATAATCATAACTCCCTACACTAACGTTGACTTTCAATAGGCGTAACTCCCATAAACTAACGTTGACATACGATAGGCGTAACTCCCATACACTAATATTGACTTTCAATGGGCGTAACTCCCATACACTAACGTTGACTTACGACAGGCGTAGCTCCCACACACTTACATTGAATTACGATAAGCATAACTCCCTACACTAAGGTTGACTTTCAATAGGCGTAACTCCCATAAACTAACGTTGACTTTCAATAGGCGTATCTCCCATACACTAACGTTGACTTTCAATAGGCGTAACTCCCATACACTAACATTGACTTTCAATCGGCGTAGCTCCCATACACTAACGTTGACTTACGATAGGCGTAACTCCCATACACTGACATTGACTAACGATATGCGTAACTCCCTCACACTAACGTTGACTTACGACAGGCGTAACTCCAATACACTAACGTTGACTTACGATAGGCGTAACTCCCATACACTAACATTGACATACGATAGGCGTAGCTCCCATACACTGACGCTGACATACGATAGGTGTAACTCCCTCACACTAACATTGACTTACGATAGGCGTAACTCCCTCACACTAACGTTGACTTACGACAGGCGGAACTCCAATACACTAACGTTGACTTACGATAGGCGTAACTCCCATACACTAACACTGACTTTCAATAGGCGTAACTCCCATACACTAACGTTGACTTTCAATAGGCGTAGCTCCCATACACTAACGTTGACTTACGATAGGCGTAACTCCCATACACTAACGCTGACATACGATAGGTGTAACTCCCATACACTAACATTGACTTTCAAAAGGCGTAACTCCAATACACTAACGTTGACTCAGATAGGCATAACTCCCAAACACTAAATATGCGTAACTCACACATACTAACGTTGACTTAGGATAGGCGTAAGTCCCATACGCTAACGTTGACTTACGATAGGCGTAACTCCCACCTACTAACACTGACGTAGGATAAGCGTAACTCCCGTACACTAACATTGACTTGCGCGTGCGATAGACGTAACTCCCATACACTAACATATATTTACGATAGGCGTAATAAAAAAGTCTTTGTATGGGTAAAGTGAAATGGGGTTTAACGTCGCATTCAAGAGTATTGTACTTATATAGCGACGTGCATGCACGTGTGTGTATGGCTGTTTGTAGTAGTCCGGATTATTGCTGGTTTTATAGTGCTAGCCTACTGAGATACCATCTGCAATTTAACATGGATACCCCACTCAGTATACTGCCCCTCTTCAGTCCCTTTTTATCACCTTAATTCAGAGCGCCAGATGGGGAAACAAATACCATCTTTTAACGTCTATTGGTACGACGAGTCCGGGATCGAACCACCGACCTTCCGCTCTCCGGGCAGACGCTCTATCCACTAGACTAGACCTCTTTGTATGGGTGTATGTGATTAGCGACAGTCGTACCACCAGGAGCGCTTAATGGGGTCATCCGCCCATGTATTTACAATATGGGAGTTGTGTATTAATGTATGAATGAAAACGAAATCCAGCTGGATCCGGCTGCACGACTGTGTTTACATGTTTAGCCGCAGGGAGCCCACACTCTGTGTCATTGTTAAT